TTTCATTGCATGACTGATGAATTGTGTTTGAATCAGCTAGAAAAGAGAAGTCATTTATTATCAAGAGATTTGCTTTTTTTTCTCAAAGACAAAAGAGCAATAATGAGTTATTACGTATTTACTACCTGAATAATAGTTTTTAATGACAAAGTCAGACAGATTTCCAAAGCTGGGACCTCACGGTATGTTTTGGCATCATGGGATTTCAAAAGGCATTTCCAATGAAACAAATGGTTTCATGGCTACAACTGGGAACTATTTAGGAGGTATGTTGTGAAGTCATACTGTAGTGCTCAGTTAAATTATTCTGTAGATGACAGGAAGGGGAAGCAGCCACTATTCTTGCTATTACCCATTGTACAGTCATACTGCAGCAATTATTTAAAATCTTTGATTATCCTCAGAGAGACGATGCAATCATGGCTGAAAATCAATTTCAGGGACATCAGGAAAAATCAAAAAGCTTGCACAGTGCCAACAGGGCCAAGGGCTTGTGCGAGAGAAGAGAAGGGATTTTTTTCTCATCATCGTTTCGGTTTTCCCTTTGCTAAGGGTAATCAGCCAGCAACACCAGAGAGCTTGCTGTAAGTCAGAGCCAGATCCTGATCCTGTTCAGAGCTGCTAGTGATGTAGAGCCAGGTAGCATCCAATTAGTGCTTAGTGTAACTTAATGCAAAGTGCTGGCACTCAGCTCACCGAATCCAACTAGTTGTCATAGAATTTCCACGCTTCTGCTGTCAAATTCATGAACATTTGCTGATTTGCTTTGCCTTCTCAAGGCACCATGAAGTTGAAATGAGACATTTCCATCAATGCTGCGCCATGTATGGCCATTTTCTGCTAAAACAGATTGGCCTGATTACTGACGAGACAGCAGGAATGTCAGCGGCGGGTGCTTGATGCTTATTGACAACTGTGTTGCTTTAGAACCACATTTACTCCTTTTACATATAGAGCAATTTGTAATGGCACAGGTTCCAAAGCTCTGTAATGGATGTAAATCCAATAAAAAAAATCATCATTCATGATAAACCAAGAGCATGTACCATTTTTAGTAAACAAAGCTGGATATAAAATTCCACCCTTTCTTTATGTTCAATAAAGGCGTGCCTCTTTATAGTCAATCAGTCTGGAATTGTCCAGATGCTGGACTTGTCTCACACAGCTGAGAGCAGATTAAGTCTGATAATTACATATTTAAAGACACAGCATAAAAAAGGCAATCCCCCACGATGCTGCTTTATTCATAGCACACTGATTTGGTAGATGAGAGACCGAATGGTATGATATCACAAATGGGTGATATGTTATCCGTCCCCATTTCATGTATTTCAACCCCCTCCATCTTTATTCGCAAACTTTTTGTTTTCCTTTTCCTTTCCTCTCCCTGAGTGTAAACCGCTGCAAGGAGCGTCTCAACAGATTGTGGTCTCTGGCAGAATGCAGACAATTGAGTTTTGGAAGTGGCATGGAACGAGACATGGGAGTTTGAGGTGGCTGTTTTCCCCTGCCTTCCTCTCTGTCAAGGCTCCATGGGCAAATTGCCCAATCTTTCATAACAGCATTAGCAGAGACTAGGCAGCAACACAGTGGAAAATCCACCCCACCATGTTTCCTCATCAGCGATGTCTTCTCTCTGACCTCGACCTCAGTTTCAGTGACTCACATGAATATGGAAGATGAATATGGGCCAACTTCTGAGGTTATGCCAAATTCAACAGCAGACAGGCCTGTCAACCATGAAATCGCCTTTACAGAGAGAGTATGGACAAATCTGGATTGGTTGAAGGCACTTTCATCCCTGGGAAATTCCCTGACCTTTATTTTATGTCCTAGGCCATAAAGATCAGGTAACACGCTATCATAACAACCAGTATAAAGGGAAATGGTGGTCTATTATCCTCCATAATTCCTCTCTGGACATCTATCATCATTCACCATCTATTCAGGCTACCCAGCAGTCATCACAGGAAACCCCCATAGTTGTGCAATGTGGATCTTTCCTCTTTGCCCTTTCTTGGTAATACCTCCTGTGACATATTTGGCTCAGCACCCTTACACAAACACTAACACGCACACACACAAACACACACTGCTGTTTGACCTCTGAGGTTCAGTAAGAGCATTAAATACCAATTAGGGTTGGGACGGGCCAAGCTGAGTCTGAGGTTGTTGAAGGGCCCTGAGGCCTGTGGGAAGCAACTTATTGGTCCCTGGGCATAAATGTGTGTGTGTGTGTGTGTGTGTGTGTGTGTGTGTGTGTGTGTACGTGTTTGACTAGTGCTGGAGGCCAGATTCATACAGTATGTGTTTGTGTGTGTGACAGTTTGTGCAGGCTAAGGACATCAATAGCATAGACAATCTCCCTGTAGGCATACTACTACTTTCTACACACATGCACAAAAACCACATCTGGATATTTTATTTAATGTAATGTCCAAGTCCCCTCTTGTTCATCTCTCTGGGAAGCCGTTTTTTTGGCTGAACTTATTTCCTATTACATCATAGCATAGGAATGAGCAGGTTTTTCTCTGCTTCAAATTACATTTTCTCAAATTTGTATCATATACTGAATATGTTAAGACTTGGTCTTAATAAATACCCTACTGCCTGCCTGTAAGATTTTGATAACTATATGGCTGAAGTGGGAGAGGTACAATAAGATGTCTGATGTAGGTTATTTGTCTCAGTTTAATGTTCAAAATAAAACAGCAATACAGGAGAAAGAATATTAGCAAATGCTCTGAAGGCAACCCTCTGAGAAATATCCGTTCTCTGCAGTGAATCTTGAGATTGTGTGTGATGATCTGCAGTGGTTATCTGGTGGTTTCAGAGTCATGCCCTTTACTGTCCCTCTGTTATTTACCCACCAGACACACACAGCTTGATAAATGTTTTGTCTGACCTTCTAAATTTGTTTTCCTTCCTCTTAACTGTGATTTTATTTCCCTTGGACAGGCCACACAGTGTGTGTGTGTGTGTGTGTGTGTGTGTGTGTGTGTGTGTGTCTGTGTGTGCATGTGTGTCTGTGTATATGTCTGTTTGTAAAGAAAAGACAAGGTCTATATCCAGAAAGATAAAGATCTAGTCTCTCCTTGTTGCAAATTACTTCTATAAGTTCATAATTTCAATAAACAAACCATTGAACAAGCAAAATATTTAAAATAACTACTAATAGCAAAGATCCAACAGTCACTGACCAGCCACAGTGTGTGTCTACTTCAGTCTGGAAAGAGTTAAAGTCACCACAGGCCAGAGCAGAGTCAACACCGGCCACGGCTTGGCTGGCCTATCCTGCCAGATCAATATCTGCAAATAATAAATTAGCTCCCCAGAGGGGACGCACTAAACCTTCAGCAACACTGCCCTGGAAAAGTCCACAATTGGTGTGTGCGAGACTCAATAAGCCAGGTGAATGACTGTGCAGGGGCACATCTTTAGCACTCCATAATAGAAAATTAATGGTGCTCAAATCAGTGCTGAGGGCACCCTGAGGGTTACCTAATAGGCCTAGTTAGAACTGTCATCCCTCCCAGAGTCACCTAAAATATCACATGCAAACACAGGGAGACAAGAAGAGAGGGAGCAATGGGAGGAAGATGTATGTGTGTGTGCAAGTAACAGGGATTACCGCCTTTAGAAGTGAATTTTACAGAAGTTTTATTTTGAATTTGGAAGAGTGAACAGAAAGTAGGGCCGCCAGAACAAAAGTAATTATCAAAATTTCAGTATGCTAATCAAACTACAGCTAAAAATATTTTAAATAGATCTTTACTACCGATTGAACTGAATGAATTTTCAAGAAATAATACCAAGACTGCATACTGTGAACTCAACATTATACGCTATATGTTTGATTGCAATTAGTATTTTTACTTTATTTGATTTAGCATTTATACTATTTAGTATTCATGGTCAGATATTAGTAATCTCAGCCAATATATTGTCCAATTTAATTTCAAGGAGTAATTCACAGCCCAATGCACACAAACATACCCATCTCCATTATGATAGCTGTAATATCGTTTTTTATTCGGAATTTACTGTTGAAAATAATTCAATTTGAACACCTAATCCGACCAGATTTAAAGATTATCGCATCATTTGAGATTATATTGTTAATACTTGTTATCCTCAGTATATATGACAAGTTGTAGGTCACATGGTCAAGATCAATCCAGGAAAATAAAAATTCAGAAAATTTGTGACAACAGAAAATAGTAGAATAAAATATTGTTCCAATTTTCCTTGATCCTAAATAGATTATCCTTATGATCAGCCTTTAAAACAAACCCTAAAGAACAAATAAATACCAGACTAAATTGAGATAATATTTTTTAAACACATCTACATTCATGCAGCTAAATAAAAAAAAAATTAACTAGTTGCTGAAAAGTGAAAAGTAATCTAAAGTTTGAGGAGGAAAAAGAGTACATATTGGAAATACTAAGTTGATGATCAAGTACAATGCTGAAATATGCAAGTATATCATGTTGGCTGTGTTCAAGCATAAACTTGTCCAATACAGCAGGCTGTTTAAAAACAGATCTATATGCCCAACAGGCTGGTAATGAGCCTTAAAAGCACATCTGATTACTTATTCCAGCTGGCATATTCCCCTTCCACACAAACACAACTATTGGATTCAATAAACATACTTTATATTGATCCTGAGCCACCCGGCAGCACATGCAGCTCTCTTAACTGCTCTCAACAAGATTTATTACAACTTTGCATGCTGAACAGAACTCAGGAGACACGCACACACAAGCATGTGCGCAGACACATGCTAAAGCTTAAATACCAAATGACTTCTCATCAATGTAACGTGCACACACATGCACACAACCTTTCGATCTTTCTTCTGACCCTAATTTGCCTATGCAGTAATATCAGGGGGGTTGGGATGTGTGGGGAGGGGTTTTCCTCCTCATCTCTCCTCCTATCCCCCTCAGGTCTGGACTTCAGCAAACTGTATGGTGCTTTGACACTGAACTTACCCACATGCCGCCACGCTGCCGTCCTCCAGCCCAAACAGGGTATGTCGCTCTCCGCAGGACACTTGAGATATTTTCAGAGATGATGGAAGATTCTGGAACAAACGTGGTGCCAGCTGGACAAGAAAAAAATAAATAAAGTTCCCAGTGAGGTGAAGAAACCCACTGTATCTCTGAGTAGCTCTGTAGTTAGGTTGGTATACTCCATCAGCCTGGCTAACATCCCAAAGACAGGCAGAGCTACAGTAGATCCTCTCAGTGTAGATGAAGACAGAACAACGTGAACAACAGAGGCAACAAGAAAGAAGCAGCATACTCCTTTATGGCGCTGAGCTGTGTAGATCTGATGTTTTTTACGTTCCTGTGTGTGTGTCTGTCTGTTTGTCTGTCTGTCTGTGTGTGTTCATGCCAGTGCCACAAAGAAAAAAATGAAACAGCCTATGAGGAGAAAAGAAAGCCTGGTTCCTCATCATGCGCTTGTTAGCTTGTCCAATCTATGGCAATCAGCACAGTCCCAGGGGTTGAAAGACACGAGATCCCGGGGAAAGGGAAGCCGAGGCTGAGGAAAAGATCAATACTGCACTGTGAAACAAGAAGTGTGGGCTATTTACTCTCCATTGATCTGATGATGCTGGAGAAACACCTCACTCGGCTATTAAATTGAGGGTATAACTCTACTGTGGAGGGCTTTTTTTTATTCCTCTCTCTTTTTCCTTTCTCTCTGTCTTCACCCCAAGGTCAAGAAAAGCTAAAAACATCCACAAACACACAAAAATGGATTGCTTGGCCCAGGGAAAGTAATTAATCTGCATTAAAATGCCAAGGGAGCAGGCACTAACTACCCATCTTAAGTGAAGTTTTGCTCAGAGCGACATGAGACCCATGGCAGCATAGGATGGACTACTAGAGGACACAGTGATAGATACAAATAGTCTGCTAGCAGAGGCCAGCAGAGTTTCACTTGAGCTACTTCAAGCTGAGGATTTCCACCTGCATGACACAGTAAAGAAAATGAAAACACTGTGCTGAAAGTAGGCCTTTTTGCAGCAGAACAGTGGCAGGTAAGTATGATAAAAAGGATATACATGATGAATAGATATTATCCTTGTGTGCACTACAATACAAACAATTCACAAGATCAAGAAAGAAAAAAGCCGGTCAAAACAGACTACTCTTACTACTGTTGTTTGTTATTCAAAGCAATGTTTGTGATGATTTAGTCATAGAGTTTCATACCATATTCAAGAAATCAATACTTTGCTTAAAAGGACAGTTCACATCCAAAATCAAAAATACATATTTTATAAGGAAGCATGCATCTACTTATGCACGAGAGGCTCATGTTCATGACAGTGTGAGGTGTAAACATTAATGCCGTCCTACTCAGTTGAGCTGTAACGTTAGCAAGTTCAGTTCTGCTAGGTGAGCGAGAGGCATCGAATATGGATGCAAGCTTCCTTCTGCGCGGTGATACGGTTGGCGATTGTAGTTCGGTAGATGGAAAATAGTTCCTAAATAAAACTGGGCTGTGGATTATCTCGAGTGAACGGGTAATGATTTCTGGAAAGAAACATTGCTGTTGAGTTTTTCAAATACATTTTTTTAAAAATGAGACACTTCTATGTGGTGATACTGTGTTATACAAAGTATATGATCACTGATCCATTTCCAACACATTTTGGGGGTAAAATACCGCTCACACAACGAAAGATAAAGCCATACAATTCATCTCTGGTTTATCAAAATGTGCTGCAGAGCTGCTGCCATCCAGATATTTTTCATGGTGTGAAACTCTTTCCCTCCATGTCTGTCTTTGCCTTTCTTCTACTCCTCAGAGGTGTAGCCTTATTGACTGTGTGGCTGTATTACAACAAGCAGTCTCTAATGACTCCCTGAAGACCTCTCTATCCCTACTGCCCGCCCTCCATCTCTCTCTCTCTCGGTCTCACTCTCTGTGTCTCTCCCTCTCTGCCTGCTCTTCAGGCTCCAGTTCAGCAGCTAATTAACCCTCTCTAATAGCGTAGATTACATTAGCTTTGAGCAGCTCGCACCCTCCACCGGACTCGCACTGCCACACAATGAACCCAGCCTTGCTTTACAAATCTCCCCCTTCACAAGAGCACAATTATGAATTCAAACAACTTCTTATCCACACGCACTCATCCAGGGACAGAAGGCTTTCTCTTCAACCACCCCACTCCTCCCCTGCCACCCACCTCCCAGGCCTTTACGCAGGGAGAAATGAGAGAACTGAAGAGAGGAGACCACACAACAAGATGGCCATGAAGGGGAGAGGGATATCAAGGGGGGAGGAGGGGACCCCTGTTGGGTAAATCAGAGAGGTCACTATAGGTGTTTCATTGGGTGAGGCTCCAGAACCCCAGTGATAACCCTCCATCTTAACATTCCTATTCAGAGCTGAATCGAAACTTAATTACTATGGGTGGATAGAGTGAGAAGGGGGAATACCAGGACCAAATGGAGGTTTATGGTTTAAGTGGTCAAAGAGAGGGAATTAGACGCAAGAATGAATGACTAAAGCCAGTGGAAGCGGTTTTCTACACATTGACAAAATGGTCTGGGAACTCAAAACCTAATGAAAACTTTAGAAATATATATATTTTTTGTGATGTATCAAACAGCTTGATAAGTGAGTCCGATTAACCAGCCAAGACCCTACATATCTAAAGATGCACTTCTGTTGGTAGGATGGGACACTATTACACACCCTACTTTAAGAATGTAAGAAGATAGTATGGTTGGTTAGGTTCATTTGATGCAATGGAGCTGAGCTGTATAAAAGCCGCCATTAAACTGCTGGAGTCCAACCGCACTGTGAGAGTGTTCAAATCAATGGAGTACCAAGGAGGAGAGGAAAGAACGCTGATTCAATGAGAGAAATTGCATTTTTTTTTTTGAATTGGACTTTTTTTTTACAGCACTTAGTGGTGTTTTATCAATGATAATGAGATGAGATATAGTTGTGGTAAAAAAAAGGGTAAAAATGTAATAAAATATGGAATAAATGGATGTAATCTGCTCCGTCTAAATGTAAATTGGTACATTTGTAGTGAAAGGACATTCTCATGTTTCTTTGTCCGAACAAGTAATTTTCCCTACGTCTCTCTTCTGTAAGGCTTGCCATAGCAGCATTTTCTGCAGCACAGAGCACTCTCCTTTCTATTTCAATAGGACAGCTCATTTGCTAGACTCCTAGCCCAAACTGCTGACTGGGATTTTCAAGGCTGTGTACTTTGTGTGCGTGTGGACGAGTGTGCATGTGCACAAGCGTGTGCTAAAAGAGAGAGAATAGGGAGAGAAAGGCATGAAAGAAGGATAAGGAAAATGGAGGGGAAAGAGTGGGAGAGAGAACACATTGTATCATTAAGGTACTCAGAGATCATTAGATATATAAGGGCTCTGCTATGCAAGGTCAGGGCTGCTGTGTTTTTCTAGGTCGGCAGAAGAGCAGTAAAACCAGTCTCATCAGCCGCTTCTCTCTCCTCCCCTCACCCCCGTATCGCTCCATTCCTCTTCCATCTAGAGGTAGTGTGGATTACAGCCCAGTTTATCCATGTCTCTGTATGTATTTACTAACATTATCAAGGCTTATGAGCCAAGGACACGGTAAACCACACAAAAGGCACAGAAAGGCTTTCAGCTAGATACTGGCCTTATTACGGGGTAAAGTTGTTGGCTCCCTGTCTCGCTCCCAGGATGCAAAAGGCTGTTTTAACAGGTGCAGCACGCTGCCTAGCTATCCAGTATTTTTCATTAAGGCCATACTTTAAAGTTTAGTCCAGCAACTGGCAGTCTGCCCTAATAAAGTGTCTGTCTGTGTGTCCAGAACCAACGCATGGATGTGATTTATTTTTATTCCGCTGTGGGGGAAGGACATGGATTTTATTGAGAGGTGAATACACTTTGTATAAAAGTAACTGACAAACTCTCTTTTCAGACACCCAGACTAGCGCTTGATATTGAAACTCAGCACTTTTCTGATCCAAAACAAAATGTGCCTCTAGACTCTGAATGTCGGGCCAGATTTGTGATCTTGTTTACTTTACTTTACTTTACTTAAGCCTCAATCAGATAGCACCTGACCACTTATTCAAAATGTTTGCCAATCTTAGACTATTTTCTTCAGGCAGTTATTGTATGGATGTTTTCTCTATATGTTTTTATGAAAATATAGTTTCTTTTAGAAAAAAAAAGTGTAAATATAAAAAAAGAAATGTCTTGGTGTATCAGTATTGAAAAATTTCAAATGATACCTCGCCCTTACCCAGATGTCTAAACACACATGCTCAACCTCTTTACTCCTCATGTGACGGAGATCCTCACAAGTCCACGGGAGAACTGGCCCTGGATGGAGAGAGGCAATGCCTTTGGTAACGTGGCATGTTCATCAAGATAATGACGGATAGCCTTATCCTTATCCATCCTCGCCTTTATAGAGATGAATGTCCTGCTTGGCTTCTTACTCAGCACTTTGGCCTTTCCTCCACTCATTGTGCACTTTATCACACAAACACCCTCACGTAGTAGCCTAAGATGGAGATTAGCAAAGCCTGTCTGGCAAATGGACCCGACTGAAGTCAATCAATCAAACGTGCTGCGGGCCAATCAAGAGAGGAAAACACAAATCCAAAAAGTACCACCATGCACTATTTTCCCAGTGTGATTTTTTAGTGTTAAGTAATTAGAGAATAGGGTAGTGATTGAGGGGCATTCGTGTGCATGCACGGGATGAGTCATGAAGTTGAAGAAAAACAAAAAAAAAAAAAAAAAAAAGTGTGAGAGAGAGAAACATTGTGTAAAAGAATGCCTCTGCTGCTCTCGACCGTCTCATTAGGCTAATGTTTTTTTATAAGGCACTTCAAATGTCAAGGCATTGGTGGATTTAGTGTAAACTTAAATTCCATTACCTGGCAGGCATTAATTGCTTACTGAGCCCAGGGATCTTTCCCCTGGGGCCTCTATGTTTCCTATCTGTCATCTGGCTAACTATTCTGTCTAGACTAACTTAGAGCACCATAATCCACCATGGGGATCAATAAACTGCACATAATTCAGCTCCAATAATGAGCTTTCACTTCAAAAAAAAGCGCCAGCC